GCATCAGATAACAGATTATGCATGGTGTAGCTTTACATACATGGATAAAATGTTTGATGGTTATAAATAAGTTCTGTGTAACTTTCACAGCAGCATTACCTTAGAGAGAATTCAGATGTTGGTATTGAATTTATGTGATAGATTTGCTACACTAAGACTGTAGTACAGTTACATACAATCAGTTTATCAGAGTAAAACTGACTTTTGAGTTTTTGGAGGAAATTTGAGTGAAATATGAAAATGTTCTAGAGTTCACTTGATGCTCCTGTTGGCTATTGTCTTGCCATCTGTTCTTCTTTAATAGAGAGGAATGTGTTTCTGTACCCAATGTTAAAGGAACCCCAGCGCTGCATGCTGATATTGGCTCTTCTCCCACTTTTCTTTCATACACAGTAGGATCAGAAGGCTGAGTCTACTACCAAGAACTGATTTTATCTCTTCAATTATGAATAATACAATCCTATTGTATTATTCATAACTGAAGAGGTCATTCAATAATACAGTCCTAACTGAGTTTGTATTTTGCATTTATTTTAGATGAAATGAAAATAGGTCCTGGTGGTGGAATCTCATTTATTCTCACTTTCAACACCTGTTGTAGATATGCCTTCCTAGGCAAGACCTTTTGCTAGGATACTTATGTAAGGCCACTTGGAATGCAGCCAGAATATTTCCTTTCTGACTCTTGCTATTTACGACACCGACCGCCCCAACCCATACCCCCACCTGCCTGCTCAGCTACTCTCCCCACTCCCCTTCTAAAGAATTGCTCCGATGAGGTGAACCTATATGAGCAGACAGTAGTAAAAAGAGCACTCTTGCCACAGGATCATATTTCTACTTGTTTACAAAAACATATTTAACTGAATTCTGGGACAAATTAGGGTATTTATGAAACAAACTTTACAATCCTCGCACTATTTTGTGCTTTCGAATATAATTTTAGATCATTTGCTGCTATAAAAAAGCTGCAGTCATGACGATAAGTAATTTGCCAAAAAAAAAAAAAAAGAATTAATTGGGACAAAATTAGCAGTACCTTGAAATTTTATTATTTTCTTTTTAGAACTACTAGTCTGTCTTGGACAGTTTACACACAGAGAGAGAAATCCTCAGCCAAGATGACTAAACACGTATGCATTATTTGACAGTAACAAACCATAAACTTCAGCATTAAAACACAAGTAATGTTAACATAGTAACCAGCACTTGTATTAATTGATTAAACCAATAATTCAAATAATCAACAGCTGCATTAACCAAGGTTCATATCATCAGTGAGTAAAATTAACCGCGCAGTGACCAACACTTTAATGAACATGTTTGTGATTGTTAGTTACCAACATTCAGAACTGAGGCTGAAAAGAAAGTTTTAATATTTACACCTGGATTTCAGTAAGTTATCAACATTTATGAGCATTTCTGCAGTTTTGCTTATTTGTGTGGAGTTATTTTTAGTCATATATTGAATAAATGTTAGTCAGTGCAGGTGAATTTCTTTCTTTCTTTCTTTCTTTCTTTCTTTCTTAGCTTTATGTATAGTCCATTAATGCTGACGTTTATGCTTAGTTCATGTTAACTAATGCAAATCATGTTTATTAAGTCACCTAAATGTAAAGCGTTACCATTATCAGAAATATAAGCTGACACATAAAAAAGGTACAACTTATCTGAACATACATAAGCATTCAGTAACTTCAGTAACCAAAGCAACTAAAGGAGAAACTAAAGAGCCTCATCATTTTTGTCTGTAACTTATGAAATATATTACAGACTGTCTGTAATATATGAAACAATATTTCATGTTTCCTGCATGCTAAAAAGGGAATCATCCATAAAAAGCTGCAAATTAAGGCCTGTTGAGTAAAAGTGTTGTGGTTCTTTTGCTTTAGAATGCACAGATTTGAGCTAAGTTTGGCTCTCTCATTTTAAGGCTATAGTTTCCTGCAATAGATTTTCTGGAAAATTCTATCCTTGTGGTAAATACTGTCAAATACTCCCACTGCGGCATAATGTCTCACAACAAATGGTAGAGAGAGACTGTGTGTGGGGGGTGTTATTTCGGCTTTTATTTAAGCTTTACCTCTCACACGAACTAATATTATCTTTTACGTCTGCTGGTTTATCTCTCACATTCATTTCCATTCTCACATACATTGTTTACCCCTTATCTTTCATTATATATGAATACATTTTGTAAGTACATGAGAGGAAATGTTTGAATAGTAACTGAATTGTCAAGAAAGAAGGAGAGAAACCACAAGTTGCTCTTTTGAGAGCTGTCTGTTCAGACTTCCTTTCAGCCTGTCACTCCCTATAGATTCAACATGTTTTTCTGTCACTTACTTTACCAACATTTGTACTTTAAAATGCGCACACACACACACACACACACACACACACACACACACACGTTTTTCTTTCTATCCTTGTGATGACCTTTCACTGACATAATTATTAATGCAACTAATTAGTGCTATGCCTACACCTATATCTAACCCTAACATTAAACTCAGTAACCAACAGGAAACCGCTTGACTCTTGCTTTAGTTATTTTTATTTAGTTATATTTAGAGGGTCAAAAACAGAAGGTGTGTAGGCACCCAGTTGTTATTCTACCCTTCTATCCTTCTTCTTCTTCTTTTTCTTCTGGCTATGGTGTCTATAGCAGCCCATAGAACCATCTGGTAAAAAGTTGTGAATTTTGGCACACTTATTGGGGAGGGTCTAACGAACATGCTGACCAAATTTGGGCCAAGTGCTACCCAACGCTTTAGTGCCACCATCGGGTCAAATTTTGGCCTAATTTAGAAATACGCTTATGGTCATAACTTTTGAACTGTGCATCCAAAAGCCAGGAATCCCTGGATTCCCTGGGTCAAGACGAGTTCACCGCACCCTATGATGTCAGTTAGATTTTCTGCCATCTTGGATTTTGTTAAAAACAATTTTTTCGCTGCTCCTCCTACAAATTTTGTCCAATCATCACCGAATTTGGCACATCATCTTCAGAGTAAGCCTCACAAAAATTATTAAAAGAATTTTGATTACTCGAAACAGTTTGCCTGTAACGGGCCAACGAATCTGATGGCAACGCAGCCAAACAGGACCTGAGGCTGTATCTCAGCAACGACTTTGCGCACTGACACAAAACTTGGTAGGTATCTTCAGGATCATGACCTGAGGCTATGCAACAAATTTCGTGACAGCACCACCACATCAAAAGCAATAACATGCTAAAAAATGCTTACATCTAACTGATATTTTTGCTACTCCTCCTCCAAATTTTGTCCAATCTTCACCAAATTTGGCTCACATCATATTGGCATGTGTCTAAACTTGTACAAAGTGGGGAAAAAAAGGCCCAGACTGACAAGAAAAAACATAAATACCTTAGATGTTTTTAAATTGCAAGAAGAAAAAAAAATTATTAGGTCAGCACAGTAGCAATCACGACCACAGGTCAAAGTAGCAACAGACAACCCCACAGGTCACAGCAGTAGTGGCAGCTGCAGCAGCAATGCCACCCTGCTGCCCAGTTGTTCATCTAGACCTTTCCTTCTACAGTCAGAGAATTCCACCACTGTCCAGGGTCAAAACATACACATCATGAGTGAAACTACAAATCACTCTTGAATCCCTTTGCCTAAAGTTATGGCTCTGCTTTCCTGTGATTGCTTAGGCAACAGCTGTGAATGTGCGGCTCACTGAGTCTGGGTGCTTGGCCCCCGAAAATGCTGCTTGCAGCTTTAATATTTAATTATGGTTAGTTATTATTTTTTAAATTAATTAGTTTTTTTTAAATAAAAGGTGTATATGTTTTTGTGGGGGGAAAAAAACCCTCATGGGAACCAGCCATATCCAGCCATATGTTCCTGTCCTTGTGGGGACATTTGCTCCCCACCAAGATATAAACACACCCTTTTTTTCAAAAGTGGTAATCCGAATTGTTTTCTATCTTTCATAGTTGATTGCAAAAACTCCTTTTCTATGATATTGCCCCATTATAATGCTAATAATTGTTTCCTATTTTGCCAGCGGTTTGCTGGTGAAGACAAAATTGTCTATCCTCAACATTATTGTATGCAGGGTTTTTCTAAAAACTCTTTCTTCATTTTGAAATAGTTTATCCACTCCTCCTGAGATAAAATTCGGACGTAATTTGAGAAATAACACCTGCCCGTTAGGTGTTCTGGCATGGGGTCATGGACACACTAGCTTTTATGCATTCTTCATGTATTAAGGGTTTAAAAGATGTAAAAGTCATAACAAGGCACATTACCAGTAGTTGCACTCTCAATACAGCCATGTGAACTTTTTTTCTCTCTCGTCAGTACTGACGTGTGGGATTAGTATGTCAAGGCACACGTTATCTGCTACCACTGTATTGACGCACACAATTACGTACAGATTCTGTCTTTAAGAACTCCCACTTCCGAGTTCTTATGTGATGTCCATACACGTACAGTCCACGTTCTCTAGTCGGTTTTTTAAAATGCATTTTCAAGTTCTGACATGTGCTCTCTATATACTATACACTTGAAAAATGCCCTGAAACCCCTTAGGCCGTTCATGTTAATTGTGACATTAAAGGGTTTATGTGTCATTTTGTAAACACACCCTCCCTTGTCCTGAGGCTGTCCTGCATTTCCCATGTTAGGTTAAGGTACTCTACTTCACCTTCTTTCCCTCCTTCAGGTTGTGCACCACTTTAAAACACAGTAAAATTACAATAGATGAACTTTTATAACAGTTTCCACGAAGCAGGTATTCATAAATGATTATAGCCGTGCTAATAATTCGCTGTATTTGACTGTAGTTCTTCTTCTTTCGGCTGCTCCCATTAGGGGTCGCCACAGCAGATCATTGGTCCGCATATTTGATTTGGCACAGTTTTTATGCTGGATGCCCTTCCTGATGCAGCCCTCCTCAGTTTTATCTGGGCTTGGGACCGGCACTGGAAGTGCACTGTCATGTGCAACACCAGTGACTGGGGTAGGTTCCCTGCCCGGAATTCGAACCCATGCCATGGCAGTGAGAGCACCATGGCCTAACCTCTAGTCCTCCAGGGATCCAGTTCTCTGTATATGACAAATTGTCACTATTCATTGTAATTTCATGTGGCATACTGCACTACTGCAATAACTTCAGGGGCAATGCAGCCAAGGAAATATTTTACAATATAATAGTGTCATGTCAACGCCGGAATCAGCGTCTAACTACAACTCCCATCACACACACTCCCTACAGTCATGGCTGCCACAGACTCCAACTCCCATCACACCCGTTCCATCACCTGATTACTGATCACAATCACCTGGACTCAGTATTTAAGGACTCTCATTCCACTGACTCATTGTGAAGTACATGCTCCGTGTTCTCATACCAGTCGTTACCAAACCTTGTACTGTGTTATAGTCTTTCTGGTTCTTGATCTAGTTTCGGGTTTTCTCGTTTTTGCTCTTTCCCTAGCCCAGTTTATGCTGTTTGCACATCGCCTGACCATTGCCTATTCTCTGACCTTGTTTTCGTCTCACATTTTCGATCTGTCTGCAAGCTTTATAAATAAAGCGGTTGTTCCCGCATCTGCGTCTGTATCTGCCACCTGACAAATAGAATTATAGTTTACTTTTTAAAAAGCTGAAAATCAAATATAACATATTTCTACATTTTTTTCATATGACTATGAAAGCGAATAGTAATCCTCCTAACAAGTTTCCCCAGATAAATAATCTAATACTTCAAGTGGTTCTGTTTCCATTCAGAGATTCTTTCCAACTGTGGATTCCTGACAAGCTTTTTCTATTTCTCCTAAACTGGCCAGTCTATAGACAATCTTCAATTATATATACTTATATGTAATCTGATCCAAAATTACATGCATATCGGGAGTGAGGTTTAGTGCCAACTTTACCATAACAACAACTAGCGTGTTAGTCCAGTCAAGACGTTCAGCCTTTTAATCATGCTGCTTCAATCAGGGAAACTGACAAGTTTTAAAAGATTTCCATCTCAGCAAAACATCATCAAAATGTTATTAAACAGACAGCAAGATAAAGAGTTTGTGACTGCAGGAAAGTTGCTCAACATTTCATATTTGCCTGACAATCGAGGCTCTGGATGTTGAAAAGAGCATGAAATGCACACATTATCCATCGATATAATGACACTGATATTTTAATATTACCAACATAGGCTATTGTTTGGGAATTTAAAATAATTGCATAAGAAATGTTTGGAGTTTGTGTGTCATGAACTGTGTGGTTTTTTTTAAATGACTGTTTTATTACACAAGGAGCACCCACACAGATTCCAAAGAAAGTAATCAGACCCAAAGGTTTACATGGCTATCATGCCTCTGTTTAATGGATTATTACAAGGATTACCCACCTCGTTTGACTGGATCGGAAATTCATTTGGACTGGCCTCAATCAGTTTAGTCTGTTCTGACTGAGATGTATACATGAAAGTCTTTTATTATGATTGAACTCTCAGTCTGATTATTAATGGATCATTAGGCCGCATGTAAACGTAGTTAGTATTATATGGTCTTATAGGGGTTATATCGTCATTATACTGTGTCTGAGTTCATCATACGTTCAACCCGGGTTTTTCTCCAGTAGTACAGTGTTCAGAGAGCTTGGCATAAAAAATAACCAGTTTAAGAAGTGATTCATTTATACTAAAACCACATAATCAGTTTATATTCATTACAGCACATTAGGGCCAGTGAGATGGAAAGGTGTGTGTTTGGAGTTGAGATGAGATTAGTGTGGTTTCACATGTACAGCTGGATGTTCAGTCGTCTTCTCTGTTAACTGAACACACTGGCACACAATCCAGTCTGCTGTTCACTGTGGAGTGGAGTCATGATGCCTGAATTCAGTAATAACATTAGTACCTTTAGTGTACATATATAAAATAGAGAGAAAAATGTAACACAATATCATATCATGATACTTGAAGACTACAACTACGTAACTACAACACACAATATGTGTAACAATACATAGATTTGATAACAAACTGCCAGCAAAACAGTAATGTTGCATTAAAATAACCTGCGAAAAACTCAGTTCAGTGATGCTTTCATTTCTATAAAAATAAATGTACACTGAAAAGGAGGGAAAAGGAATTACATTTTACAGTTGTAGATTCAATTACACTTAAAGATTCCATAAAATAAAATTAACATCTAATCATCTGCTTCAGTCAGTGTTTGTAACTGAAATAAATTATCTCAGAGAAGTATATTGTGATAATTTGTCACAATATTAATATTATATCTTCATATAATATCAATCTAAATTTTAATACATGTTTTTAAGTGTATTTTGTGATATACAGTATGAGACACAGTATGAGAAATGTAAATAAATATTTTCTTTACACACCAATTTTTTCCAAAATATTGTGATGCCATAAATTTTATTCAAATGGTGACACACTTCTATAACTCTGTGTAATTATTCTGGTCTCTTATGATGAATTTTACCATCAGGCTGATAAACCACAGGCTAAACAGGTTTTCTCAGGCTAATATTGAGAGAAAACATTAAGGGTTTCCTGGTTGTGTAATTTAGAGTTTGGAATATTGCTTACATTTATGTTTGTTCATTTGGCTTAGGGTTCTGTCCAAATTTCAAGAGAAGCAGATGCTAGCTGTAGTGCTGCTAGATTAAAAACAGAGCCACAAATACACACAAAAACTCACACACCACGATACACACAGAAACACAATGAGAGCCACAGATTATGAGTCAAAGACTAGGAAAAAATGGCGTTATTTTTACCACCCAGCAGTTTATTATTTTCCTATTATTTTATTACATCACATTCTAAAGTGTTTCATACCACAGCAACATGCCAGAAATATGATTTTTATTGATTAATGAACACAATCAGTTCGTAGTTACATTTAAAAAATATGTTTATCCGTTTATTAGGCTTAGATTATGTGGCGCGTCCGCCACACGACCCAAAGCTGTGGTACAAATAATATTATTGTATTTAACTGTGAGTAACATGGGTCATCAATCACCTCAGCAAAGAGGAAAAGATAACACAACTAGACAGACACACACGCACACGCTCTCTGTAGCTGTTTCAGTATCGATATTTGATTGCTCTCAGAAGAGTGGCTTTAGGTGTTTGGCTCTCTTGTGTTGATACAAAGCTGATTAGGCGCATATTGCGCAAGTCTCCATCATTACAGTTTGGTTGTTCATAAACGCATACTTTTTTCCACAAACCTCTTGAATGCAGGATTCATGCTTGCTCTGGCCTCATGGGAAGGCTTTTTCCACCAACCTGCCATGGACCAAGAGGCCCTGAGCTAAATCAAGCCTTTCATAACTCACCTAAGCACAAAAAAGGTTTTGTTGCCTAGTAATTCATGCATTCAGACAGTTCCTAGAGGTTTCCTGGGATTCCTCGATTTGGATCACGCTCTAAACAAGGGATAGCAGAATTCACATGATTATGTAACACATTTACATGGCAGCTGCTGCACGGGTCTTTACCTGCTTTTAGCGGGATTTAGCCTGACTTAACTCTCCATTGAAAATCATGAGCCAAGACAAATACTGAGTCATAGATTATTGTAGGATGTATCTGTTGTAGGAAATCTTAAGAGCTTTAATAATGACAAATGTGTGTTTTTGAGCAATGCACCATGTTCCGTATGAGAGATTAATTTTTTTTCCTGTCCTGTATATACTGTAAATGCTTTATAATCTGCTTAAAAAATGTATACGTGCTCGTTTCTGTTATGTTTGAAGCAGTGGCGTGATGAAAAACAGTTATGGAATATTTATACAATTAACATTATGCAATACTGGCATAAATAACGGTGACACAAAAATATTGTCCAGATTTTTCCAGTGAAAACCAAGACTTTCTCAGTGCTTCGATATATAGAAATGGTTTGGGAGAGAGTGCTACATTTGAGCAATTTGTGATTTCACCAAAAGGCTCAGCAGCTTGAACCTCTCATGGTCTGATGTGGTAATTATTAGTTGGTAACTGGAGAAGTTTAGCTACAGGTCCTGCATTCAAAGCTAGTTAGCTTTGTTAAAGTTAATATGGAACAAATATTGATTATAGTGTTATGTTGTATTTTGAAAGGAGTGATACTTTTTTCTCCAATTTTCTCCCCAATTTGGTCATCTGCCAATCCCTACCCACCAGCCAGCTATCCCCATCATATAACAACTACCAAGTTAGGGCAAACAAGTGCTTCCTCTGAAGCCAACTACCATTTTTTTCTAACTGCTGCTCATTCTACATCACAGGGCAGCTTAACACACTTGGAGGAAATCGTACATGAGCTTACAAATGCCTGTGCTGGGTTGTTTGTGATTGACAGGGGAATATGCCATCCCTCTCACTCAAACAGCACAGCAAGTTTTGCTGTCTTGGACTCCCGGCCATGGATGGTTGTGGCGTCGTCGATTCAGACTAACGCTCGCTCAACAATAGGGCGAACACTTTTCTATTGTGCCACTCAGGAGCCATAATATCAGTTTCCCGACTTTGTGTCGTACAACTTTGCCATGTACGCTTTGTTGTTGTTTCTCTTTTGCTTAGTGAAGTGAAGTGACGTGTAGCCACTTTTAATTTTTAAGTGATTATTTATTTATATTAGTGTAAGACACGGTAGTTCAAGGAAAACAAACAAAAAAATAAATTTGGTTTGATGTGTGTACTTTGGCCTAGTTTTTTTTAATTATTATTATTATTTTGTTTTTTTTTTATCCAAGAGACACATCATCTGCATTTGGATCCTAATATTTGAAGCAGATGTGCATGAAGTTGAGGGGCTGATCTGGATGCTGATAAGTTTTTTATTTGTTCAGCCCTACAAATGGATTTATTTTATTACAGAAATGTGCTCATAATTTATTCAGTCAAGGATCACAGTGGATTTGGAGTCTATCCCCGGGACATTGGGTGTGAGGCGGGAATACACCCTGAATGGATGCCACATTCAAACCCGGGGCAATTTAGCATAGCCAGTCCACCTACTGGCATGTTTTTCAGAGGAGTGAGGAAACCCACACACAGGGCAAAC